TCGGCGCTGTCTTTCGGAGATCAATCATCTGAAAGCGCCCACGCACGCAGGCCTAACACCAGCTAGCTGCAGACTACCGAAAGGAGCATAGAGAGAGCACTGGTGAAGAGCACACGCTGAACAAACCCCCGTGGACCCCCAAAGCACAGCTTCAGCGCTTCGACTCCAATCCTTGAAGCTTTCGTCCTTCACGCCAGCCTTATCCTCTTACTCGTGTTTTTCCCCATAAGCCTGCTCCTCTCTCCCCACGTAGTCTACTTCCAGGCAAAATGCGAACCGTCAGCGCCATCAGGCCGTCCTTCCGACAGACGCCAAACTTAGAACTTGGAGCAGCTGGCGAAGCTTAGCATGGCCCCTCGTCCGACCCTCCATCGCGTGAGGTTCGCGAACGCAGGACAACCCTCACGATGCTCAGCCACCGACGGAAAGCTCCCACCACCACCCTCCATCGGCGCGTCCTTCAAGCAGTGCAGCCCTCCCCCAAACCGGCAGTGATCCACGAGCCCACGAGGTCACGTTGACTGGTAATCAACACACACACACGCACACCCATGTCCAAAGTATCGCCGGCCACGCCTGGCCCTGCCGCCTTGAGACATCTGAACATGCTCCCGACTGGCTGCACCGTTACCAAACAGCTGCGAACTGCCTGGCTGTTAGCTGCCAAGGCTGCGCAACACTCTCAAGTCCAATCAGAGGTGCTATCCACGTCGTCTTTGCTTCTTCCACATTCCTCACACAAAGCACCTGACAGCGACAGGCCTTTGTTCACCTCGCCCTCGAAGTCCAGGCCTTGAACCGTTTGACTGCTCTCTGGGCCCCCTCCCCCCGCCATCTTATCCGCTGCCGAGAGATCTTCCCTCCCACACACGTCAATCCTCTGGGACTCTAGGAGCAAACCCCCGGGTCCGCATGCCTCTTTGGGCATGCCGCACACCTCTTCTGGGATAATCGCTGTCAGAACCCTATCCCCCGGTGCGTGCGGAGTTGCACCCGCAGAGGGACCCGTGGGCGGGCGGACAGGGCAGAAGGGCAACAAGCAAACCACAAACCAGCGAGCGCACAGGCAGCCGGGGGCGGGAAGCCAAATCGTGGGAGCGAGATATTTCCTTAGGGCTACTGCCGAGATCGCCCTCCCTAATTTTTTTCTTTTGCTGACCACCGACCGGTCGTTACGCTGCATCAACATGAACACGGGACCTCGGAGGGGGTGGTGCTGGTGGTGTGTCACATCCCGAGGTTCTGGACCTTGCATTTGAATCTTTCCGTGCTGCTGCGCTTCGGCGTACTTAGCAGAAGGGCTCCTGCGCAGTGATCTTCGAAAAGGAACGAACGTGAACGTCGTGTCTCGAGCGCGTCTGGGGGCCCAGCTGTTGGTTCCGTCACACGGCAGCAGCTGTGAACATGAATTTACACGAGCCCGCGACCAGAACCTCGGCGAACGCGGCGTCTCACAGCCGATTGTAACTTGATGACACGGCAGAAGGAAAGAAACGAAGCTGCTGTGAATCATCTGCTATTATCCCGTAGCATCAAGCTCCCTCCCTTGCCAGCGCTCGTCCGCTAAACGTCACCGTGGCCGAGCATCACCGACGAAGGGACATGGCCCCATTTCCATGTCTCATCAGCCTCGTAATACGTGTATCGGAGGCGTTCAAGATGCGTAGTCACAGCGGAAGTCCCGGCAAGAGTGGTAGCTTCAAGAACCAACAACCAATATTAGGAACAACTAACTGGCTATTGCGTAACAAAAGAGCACCGATCGACGCATGGCACAGCCCGTAACCATGCGCCGTCATCCAGACGAAAAGAGACCTAAAGAAAAACAACAGACGACTTGGGCTTCTCCTCGTCCTTCTTCCTTCGCTGCCGTCCGTCCATTGACGCCAAGCTCTTATTTCCATGCGAACGAACCCCAACCCGCAACCTTCTCGCCTCATCCGAGCCGCCTCCCGCTGCTTTGGCGCAGAAAAGATTAGCCTTTGCGCGATTACGTTTTGTGCTCCTGCTGCCGCCCGCCTTTCGCCGTCCACGTTCCAGGGGCTCTCCCAGCTACGGCTTTCGTGACCGTCGGCTAACGCGATCCTCTGGTGGGTTTAAGTCGCAATACCAGAAGGCTAGAATAGCCATGATCTAACACCGCCGTTGGCCCGAGGTATCGGGAACCATCCATCCATCGTGGCTAAAGCTGAACCGCTAGCCATTGTCATGAGATTCCCCTCCCCCTCTTTGGGCCGCCATCGTCCGCAATGACATCGTTCAGAATGTCCACGACCCCCTGTGACACGGCCCCTCACCCAGCACGGTGTGCTCCGGCGCCGCGTTGCCGGCCCAGGGTATTTGCACCAGCACCGTCGGCTCGTCGCCCGGGAACTCGGTGAAGTGCCCCGCGTGCACGCTCGTGTTCTTCATGTCCGCCGCGATGACCAGCGACGAGGACACCGTGCCGGGCTGGATGTACGCGACCGTCGTCTCCGGCAGCTGCGGGGCGTCTCCCGATCCTGGGAGCGGCATTGCTTGAGAGGCGTTCTTTGGCGCAGGCGAGGTGATGCGGATGAGGCCGTTGACGATGACGGTCAACCTACGCGCAGTCAGTCGTCTGTCTCTCATTTCACCCACACCGTGACGTCAACAGCGAAAATTTGGCATGAAAATTGGGATCCTAAATGAAGCGATCCCCCATGTCCGTCAAGTTTCAATCCCAACAGACGAAATGTCCAGCGACCGGGGAGTCCCCTCCAGGTGGCATGAAAATTGGGCAAAAAATACTCACTGCACAGCCGGCGCCCAAGCTTCGCCGACCGTTGTCCTAGGCTGGATGATGGACCACTCTGCGCGCGTCAGGTCGCCGCCGAATCCGTAATTCAGGGCTGCGCGCGCCTCGACTGGGATGGAGTTGATTTGCCAGCATTCGATGACGGAGTAGCCGTTGCGCGTTGAGAGGGCTGTGATGTTGAGGGGTGTGTACGCGGCGGCTACATGGGACGAGACGCCTAGAAGGCCAAGAAAGCTTACGATGGATACACGCATGATTGAGGATTTGTTTTTACAGGCTTGGGGACTTTTTGTTCGTATGATGATAATGGCTGGATTCCCAGTGCAGAATTAAAGAGACTTGCCTGGTGAAAGTGAACACAGATTAAGGTAGGGCGAGCTGCAGCCATGGTCGGACCTCCGGACGCCCCAGGATTCGGGGTGGTTGGGGGATGTTCCTGTCAATGCAGAGCGCGTCCTTAGACGATGACTTTTATGTGGAATATTTTAACTTCTTGATTGTTTTCTTTCCGGTTTTGCTTGCTGAGAAACGGTGAATCTTAATCCGGCCGTTCGTAACAAGTCTACGTCAACCACTCAAAACGTCTTTACCCTCTTGGAGACATAACTTTGTTCTGCTCGGAATAGATACGTGTCAGATTGGAGGAATAGGTGCTACGTCCAGTCAGTATCATAATGAATTGGCAAGAACTATTTTATTGCCCGGATCATTTCGTCATCCCATGCTCTGGACTCTACATCTGTGCTGTTGCTAGAACATATTTGTCTGTGAAATGCGGTAGAGACTAGTGGAAGTATCGACTTATTCAAATCTGTCGTAGTGATTAGGCTGGTACTGAATCAGATATGACGTTGAAATTGTTGAGTTGACAAGGCATTCTACGTTGAGTTGAGCAATTCCAGTTGAGCGAAAAGCCCGGCTAACATAATCAAGATTGGTCCGCCGAGAGCACAAAGTTGCCGCTGATGCTGGTTCCATTGAACGGCTTTTACGAATATTGTCGGACTCAATTGCTGCTTAGCCCCAGAAACCTTAGAGGTTCGCCATCAGCTGTTCAATTGGGCTTTCACGAATGCGAGTACAGGGCGTGGCCCGACTAGAAATACTTCACCAAAGACGGGATAGTGGGCAGAATGAATCTTGTTTCGGTTCGGGGACCTCTTGCTGCGCGTCATACTTTGAACGATAGAATCCGCGTATCAAAATGCACCGGTGGCATGTTGTCTTCACCCTTTCTTCGGACCAAATATAACCAATCTTCTAATCAGAAATAGTGGTCAAGAGTCAGGTGTCTCGCAGTCGCTGTGCCCTTTTCGATGCACTTTTATGCGACTTCTACATTATGAGTGAACATGCCGGGCACTTGAATATTTACAAAACTACGCAGGACTGAAAAGATGAATTGAAAACGAAGATGGTGGTGGATGGTAAAAGTGCCAGGGTGGTGGACATTTGTAAGAGACGGTCGACGACCGCAATTCCATGTGGAAATGACTGTTGGCCAGCAAAATCCATAGCGATATTCCTCTATAAGTAGGGATTTGACTCGATTCATCGAGTGTACCAATGGACAATGTAGTGTTAGCTACATTGCCGTCCCTTCCAGGAGTGAGTCGGCTCTCTTGAAGCCTTACCCACACCTAAGCCTGCGAGAGTCCAATGTCCCAAACATGCCTCTTAGGCATGGAAAGAGGGCTGAATCGACCTGCAAGTCGTAAGGTGCCATCAAAATCACGTCTTCATCCTGAGAGTAGCCAACTCAGCGTGATTATAGAGTCAGTCGCGGAAGAACATATTCCGCGCTCGTCTCGTACACGATACCACCAAGGTTCAATTTCACGGCCACAGAACTGGCAGTGTACTGAACTCGCCCCCTCCACTCTATCCTAACAAAACAATCGCATACTCGTGTGATCGTCACTTCTACTGTGATCGAGCCTTGCTGCCTCCAGGGCTACGTCATCTGAGTGTGATGGCTGCGCCGCAGTCAGCTCTCACTTAATGACATACATATATGTAGGCGAGCGGCAAGCATCTTTCGATGATCATTTAAAATAGACTGCTGCCTTTCCAAGTATGTTTCGGATGTACAAATGCCATTCGCTTCGACTTGAAATACAACACGCAACCGAAGTTAAACGCGACGGTAAATAAAACACCACCGCCCCTTTCTCGCCCAATTATCAGTACAATGTAAGCTAACGCCCGCTCATTCCCTCATTAGATGTCGGGTATACCCTTCATCACACGCCTTTACACCTCGAATACCGGGGGAACAGAGCTGTATCCGTTGTCATCGACGTCAACCACGTCCAGCGGCGCCGCAGCAGCTGACCACAGTGACCAGCCTACCTTCTGGGACCACCTCCCGGCTTCCTTTCGCACTGGACCACCGGGAAACGAAATCAAGGCAGTGAACCATGCTACTCTGGCGGAGTTTCTGAAGTTAGAGTTCTCGCTGGACCGTCTTGACGCTATATATGGAAAACTCTGGCGTGTCGGGGCTATCCGACCAGCCAGATCACTGAACGCCCAACTTGTGCTGGGTCGCACGATCGTGCTCAACAATTCCCTTGATATGCATCTTGTTTGGGGAGACATGAAGATATTCCTCAAACCGTTGCCCCGCTATCTTCTCGAGCCCGCGTTCTGGGCGCGGCACCTACCTAGTCTTCAACATCATTCACCAGCTTCGCCTCGGTCTGGAGTACGAGAGTGTGCTCTGGGGCTTCTATATACCTACGCATGCCTCGTAAATAGCCCGCTTGATTTCGAACTGGCGGTTAGAGAAGGCCTTATACCAAGAGATGGGGACCAGCCATCATGGACCACATGGCGAAAGTTAGCCACGGAGCTGTTGGAACCCGAGGTTTCCAACCACATACACCGTCGATTTCGGCATGGCGAATTGAGGCTGAACAGGCTGAATTGGATAAACATCTTCAGCGGCCTTTCTAGTTGCCAGATGTATCACAACCCATGGCATACCTATACCGAATTCGCTATCGACAACATGGCCTGGATCACAACTGCTACTGTCTACCTAGTTGTTGTCCTCACTGCCATGCAAGTTGGGCTATCTACAGACGCACTTAAGGATAACGACACGTTTCAGCGTGCCTCATATGGGTTCACGGTATTTTCGATATTGGGCCCTCTCGTTGTTGTCATCATGTTCATGTTGGTACTTCTAGTGGTAGTTGTTCAAAATTGGCTTCGTGCCCGAAGAACGCCCCACGGGACCGAACTTCCTGTGGAAGTTCCATCGACTGGGTTTCAGAGGAGGATTGCGAGAGAAGGAGACGGGAAATAAACCCTGCGATGTCATCCTCCGATGAGAAAATGACAGCTTTGGAAGACTGTAGTTATTCCACTTTCTGGTAGGCTGTTTTGCGCACTCAAACGCGGAGGCCTCACGAGCCTTGTGCACCGCCTCGTTTCAAGTTTGGAGGCTCTAGATACGTGGAAGGCCCTAGATCGAAAGCCTGGCCTCAGTGGCAGCATGTCTCAGCCGGCAACCGTAGATCGCAAATGGCACGCGTATGTCACATTGTCTGACTGTTGCATGGGATGAGCACCTCAGCTCCGAGATCATGACATGGCTTCGCCAGCCATGGCAACTGCCGGAGGGCTTCTCGAAAGTCAAGGCGGGTGACACTGCTGAGATGTTCAGTTATGGAGTGAAGCACCTATCTAAGCAGCCATTATGACTGTCTTGAGATGTGTTCAATTGCATCATGCTGCTGCCTGGATCATGGCAAGGCTGTCTGAGGGATTGTTCTGCATCAAAGCTGAAATAGGGAGCAGTATTCCTTGCAATCCCTGCACGCAAGGAGTGCTCTAACTGGTCACTCAGCACCATCAGCATTGCAGGTAGCAACAACCCAACTTTTGCTACACCGAAAAGCCGACCAGAATCGCTCTGAAGAGAGGATCGATTGGTTCCTTATGAAAACATGAAATTTGGGGATTCTCACTTTGATAGGCTCGCGGCTGCGGATGCCTAATCCAACCCTGTTCCATCTGTAGAGAAGGGTGGTCAGCGAGTCCGATGGACCAAATCGTCAAAACTGCCTTCTGCACCTGCGATGAGGAATTGCATCACATTCCTGGGTCTTGAGTACGTTTCGGCTTGAGGTTTCAAGGCCACTTCAAAAATATTTATGGGTCTCATCCCTCACGATCATAATCGCTTCTATTTGTGTTTATTAGGCACAGGTAGCGCCATCAAAAACGCAAACTCGCCGTGGCATGTTTTTTTTGAATCTTCTTGTATCTCGATTCTCCGGAATTTCGATATGGCGAGTGATACGGCCACTACCCTTGGCACAATCGCTGGCGTCATCGGGTGCATCACTGTCGCATTGAGCCTTTGTTGTGCCTGCAGGAAGACGTCAACAACGCCCCACGCTCGTGTTGTGGCTAATCAAATCGATCTCACCAAGTTGGACCTACCCCCAAATGCAACGGCAACAGATATTGAGTCCACATTTAGGGTTGGTTGGGACGCGCATCTTCGGAAACAAGCAGGAGAACGATTGGAGCTTGAAAACGACACTTCATATGGCGAGCCTGTATGGCTATCGTTTTATGCGAAGAGGGGTTCCTGGAAACATTGGGCTCTGCTAATGCACCAGCATAAGTATGAGCTTCGAAGAATGCGAAGTATAGCGTCCTCTGCGACTGCAGAAGATCCTGATCTCGAGACCGGTCTCGGGAACGGAGTGCAAGTAGAGGTTGATCAAGAGCCAATCGACGACTTTCGGAACTCTTCAGGCTTCGGGCGCTATTACAAGAAGGTTATAAGCAAAGATCGGCTTTATTCTATGGCAATGAAAGCACGCGCAGCAGCTATCGAAGCAAGCCGCAAACCCGAATTCCAACATCCCAAGCCCGAAGTCGGACTGCTGTACATAGTTCACATTGGTTGGACGAACAAGTCAAAGGCACAAGTTGACGAAGTATGTCTGAATGTGGAAAAGAGTTTTGGCACTTACAACCACCTGACAAATAACTGCCAACACTTTTGCCGTCGGTTAGCGGCTGGTGTTGTGACAAAACGATCACAAGACTGGGGATGGTTCCAGTATATGTCTTCAAAGGATTATGAATACGTGGGACCCGAGACGATAGGCCCTTCGGGAGGAATTGCAACCCTATGTGCAGAAAGGTTAACCAGACTGAAAGAGAGCGGCCATATCCCGGATCCACTATCGGTACGCATTGTTGATGAGCACATTGAACGACTGAAAGGGTATGTGCGGAGTATATGGCAAGAGAATCAAGCCTTCGTAAGCCGACAGGCGCAAGCTGCTATGCAATATGATCAGCAGTTACAGCAGTTACAGCAGGACCAACAGAACGATGGAAATGGAATAGGCGACGGAGGCGGGGCTTCCGGAGGTTGAACGAGGGTGTTCTTGCATAAACATTTGGCTGGGTCCGAATTGAGCAAGACGCAGAGCACAAAAATAGTCTAGTATGTGGTATGTGACAAGTTGGAACAATTACTTTTCTTTATGTGCGTATGGGTTTTGCTTTAATTGCTAGTAGAGATTTAATCTGAAGCCTTTCCCACGCCCTTAATTGCGTTTTATTCCTATGAGGATATTGTTGAGGTGCTTACCTACCTTAGGACGTCATATGACTTAGAAATATTTGTGTGCATCCTAGGCACAGGTGTGTTGAAATGGAGCATTCAAAGAAGATTGAATGACATGGGAAAACTGTGAGAAAGAACACAGAAGAGAAAGCATCGAATCCAGACTCGCAATGAACCCTGCCGCTATACTTAGGACACGCGAATTGTTCAAAACTGTGGACGGTGATAATCTCCTTAGTATCGAGTGCGAATTTTCTCAGATCATATACATGGATCCTCAACAAGGAATCTCTTGTCAGAATGTGACCCGTGATGGTGACTTTGGTACGCGTGTCAAACCGCAGCGGTAAGAGGTTGAGCTCAAACTTTCCACCACTCCCACAACCGCATTTTCAATCACTAAAACCTCTCATGAGGGATTTTGATCTTTCATGAAATGCTTGAATGCCACACTTCGTAAATAAAGAAGTGTGGCAGACCTATCAACCTAGGTACTCTTGATAGCACTATCGTACCCTCTCTATTGCACCCATTCTTACTCTCAGTGGCCAGAGCGATATTAATATGGGGATAATATATCGAGAGTAGATGAAGTTTGACGAGTAGTCAGATGTACTTGGGACATGTCGTGATTCTGGAGGTATGATGTCGGTCACTTGTTCGAATGGTGGCCCCCACGACTGTGTGTCCAGGGGGCAGGGGCAGGGTCTTACGCCAGCGAATTCGTGGAATGAGGCAGAATACGAACTTCCGACGTCCAACTCATAACATTGCTATGCAGGATATCCAGAACTTTCAGTAATACTCATCGGAGAACTCGGGATCCCTTCCGCTCTCCCATCGATAAACCGGCGAGTACCGGATCATCTACAAGAGCAAGACCCAGCTGACTCATCAGGCGAAACGGGGCCCGGCTGTGTCAATACCCCGCCGGAGTCCGGCCTTTAAGCCCCCTGAGCCCCAGAACTGTCTCGAGGCCCCTTGCCGTGGCCTCTGCAATGTGCCAGACAAAACTGCCTTTTAGGTCTATCATCACCCCTGATACTTCAGCCTGGGCCTTTGGTTGAACAGTATCATCTATGATGATGTCGCGTGTGAAGTATAAACGCTGTCATGTCGGGTTTGAATGTCGCTCCACTTCGCCTTTCCCGGTTGAGTGTTCTGCGAATGATTCCATGAAGGCCTCGACGGGTCGCTTCTCACGGTCGACCGACGGCCTAGGTCGTGAAGTCGTCGATGAATGCCCTCTGATAATCTCTCTGGCAATGGGTGTTGATGAGATGGAAGCTCGGTCTCGCATCGACCTCCGTCATACGTTTCAGTTTCTTGTCGTCCGCAGCACTGGCGTCCGTGCTAACCTGTCCATTTTTGTCACACTACCGCAGCATTGAGGTTTATCTCCCGCGAATTGGCGATGGACTACCCCGAGCCCTTCGTGTTCATCGGGTGAAACACTCCTTCGAATTACCGCTTACGGAATTGGTAGGTTCCAATTTATAGCTGCGGCGCGGCCTCCCACAGTGACAAAATCACCCGATTCGCGGGCACTTTCCGGAAAAGACTATTCGGAAAACACTGTACGGGCACTTTGACGTATGTCTTCTACCGATTGAGGAAAGCTTCGTTCGAATTTGCATCTCTCCGGGCGAGTGAAACTTGGTGGAGATTCATCCTTTTTCTGGAAGCCCATTGCCGGCCGTACAGTTCGGTAGTGTGTGTGTCTGTACCTTAAGTAGTGACGTGCGTCTAATTCTTATTCTGTTTTTACTGTAACCTCTCCCCGACGATATTTGCGCGCTTTTTGGACGTCTGATTTCCTCGCTGATCGACACTGGCGATCACACCGGCCGAGTGTGATAAGCTTAAATTTTCGTGGTTCCCTCTTTAGCTTCAAGTCACCTATCGCTCAAATCAAGCCCGATCGCGCATGATTATGTTGCCCTCCTTCCTCCGACAGCGCTACAACCCCGACGATACGGACGGTCGGCACACGTACACTCCGATAAGAGAAGATGACTGGAGCACAGAATCCAAGCCCTCGGTCGATGAGGTAGAGGGTGACTCAATATTGGAGGCAGATGAGTCGCTACTTCCCATCAACACACGTCGCCTGGAAACGTGGAGGAGGCTTTTGAGACATCTCTACTGTCTGGTCCCAAGTTTCCTAAGATCAACAGAAACGAAGGCAAAACCGCTTCGCTCTACAGCTTGGCTAGGTAACAAAGACCATGCTTAATATCTTTGATTGCTAGGCTAACGTATTTTTAAAGATGGTTTGCGAGGTATCGCAGCACTATGTGTTGTATTTGTTCACTGCGGTCTGATCTGGTTTTCATTTGACGTCCAGTTAGCATGGACGCCGGATCCACCTCGGAGATGGTGGCTCTACCAGCTGCCTATCCTACGGCTCGTTGTCTCGGGGCTCGCTCCAGTCAGCGTCTTCTTCGTTGTGTCCGGTTACACAATATCGCACCACTTTCTGACCTTGGTTCGTAAAGGAGAGTTCGAGAAAGCAGGCTCGGCCATCGCGTCGTCCGTCTTCCGCCGCCACACCCGGCTCTTCCTTCCACCCGCCGTGGTTGGGTTCGTCACCCTCATGATGGGTTATTTCAACTTGTTCCCCGACAAGGGGCTACCCGGCGTTGCTTATCCGACGAGGCCTCTGCCACACTTTGACTCTCTCTGGGGCCAGCTGCAGTACTACATCCATGCCGAAGTCCTCACCACCGACCCCATCGGCCAGCCTGTTGTTCGAGCCGATTCCGAAGATCCAGAGCCTCTACTTGACCCCCACCTCTGGACAATCCCTATCGAGTTTATGAGCTCCATGGTGGTGTTCATGTTCCTGACGGCTTTCACCAGAGTGCATAATAAAGTCAGGATGCTCTTTGCACTAAGCTTAGCGATATATCTCCAATGCGTCTTCGTCTATTGGGGTATGTTTTTGTTTCTCAGCGGCATGTTCTTGTGCGACCTGCATTTGGAGCTCGAGGACAGGCAATGGAGGTGGCCAACCAGGCGATCTGAGCCCGAACTCTCGAGCACTTTGCCCTCGGATGGGGCCGTACATCGGACAGTGGAGCGAGGCCACATGTCTCGTCGCATACTTGGACGGGGCGTTGGGCTCGTATCATTCTTGATCTCACTGTGGCTGCTCAGTATGCCAGAAGATATGGAGGATGCAGCGAGGTCACCTGGCTACGTGACCCTAGCATCCTTGGTCCCAGCAAGATTCAAAGAGGCCCTTGTGATACCAATTGGGGCAGTCCTAACAGTATTCGTTGTCGACCAAAACTCGTTCTTGCAGATTCTTTTCACTAACCGGTTTTCCCAGTACATGGGCAAGATCTCTTTCTCGCTGTATATGATCCATGGTCCACTCCTATATTCATTAGGCTTGGTCCTAGCTCGGTGGACTCTGGGTCTTGTCGGTGGCGGAGACACTGAGATATCCTACATCTTTGGCATTTTCTTGGCATTCATCCTATGGGCACCTGCGGCGATATGGGTTTCAGACCTTACTACTACCTTCGTAGATGCGAAGGCGATAGAGTTTTCTAAATGGGCATATAAGATGCTTTTGAAGAAAGAGTGATAGATTAGATTTGAGTCGAACAGGATTAAGCTTTTCAAAGATTTCACTAGACTTTTTTTCAACGCCTTTGCGCTTGTTGTTTGAGCGATTTAGCGGTTCAGCGAAGCACTTCATTGCCTACGTGAGCTTACCACTAGTATAAGCTGTGGTAAAACAAAACCTCGCCTGCACACCTTGGTGCTGCACAGCATGGTGGTCAGTTCCTTCTATTAGCGTCTCTTCACATTCGACCAGACAATAAAGCGACAACCTGCGATTCCTGTGCTAGAGGCAATAATTTTCCTATGAGTTCATATGTACTATATAAAGCCAGTATTGTCTTCGTCGTCGTCGTCGTCGTCGTCGTCGTCGCTATCATTGACATTATCGTTGCTATACTCGTTGTCCGTTACTATCGTCCGTCGCTATTAATCGTTTTCGGTCCACTCCTCTAACTATTATCCTTGGTTGAAGTAAATCGGTAAGTAGACAGGAAATACACTCGCTCAAGGACAGCAGAAAAGGCGGCCTCAAAACAGAAGCGTCATACACTCAAGCAATCTAGCTTTCAATTTCGAAACACGAAAAGTGTGTCCAGCGCACGACACAATTGCTGAATAGTCATCAATCTTCTCTCGAAGTTCGCAGGATTTACCGCTCAGTCCAACAAGTCTTACGCAAGCTGGAGACTACCCTACCATTCATTTCATGCAGGGTTGACGATGAGCCACATTCAATTGGCTGAGGGCACCGGGGTGGTTGGGGCTTATCTAAGGCGACATAAGCAGCTAGCACCGAAGAGGACGAGATCCCTGGACATGTAAACGGGTCTTTTGAAATCTGGTCAGCCTGATTTCGCAAAACTCTTCAGCATCTTTTTCTTGCGTTTTGGGGACTTTCAAGTAGTGTATGGGCATGAAAATGGAGCCACAAAACACACATGAAGGTCAAAGTCCCAACACTAACGATTGCAATGAGGCGACTCTAGCCCCAGATTCCGACAATGACCACGCCAGTCTGTCGAAAGAACGATCTGACAGCGGCGATGATCACTCAATTGAGGCCACACCCCCCTACGTGCTGGAATTGGAAGATGGCCAAGATGACGAGATCAAACAAACGATATCGCATGATTACCCCAATGGTCCAGATCACAGTGGTGAAGAAGCAGACGTGGAAGAGCCGAGATTCTCAACTGCAATAGGAAACGCCAATACTGGCAATGTTGAAAAAGTAGGTTTCCGTTCCTGAACCTCCATCGTTGAGCTTCTGTGCCTTTATTCTGGACACTGACCGACCCTCAGACGAATAGACCTTCTTGGGCGCCCGTCGCATATGTCCAAGACGCTGAAGACGACGAAGATCTGACACAATTCTCAACCCCTATTGGAGGTCCGAAGCCATTCGACGGCTCTTCCAACCATGCATCTCATCGGTCAATGGAATCATCCAACGAGGATCTGACACAATTCTCAACACCTATTGGAGGGCCGAAGCCATACGACGGCTCTTCCAACCATTCGTCTCATCGGTCAATGGAATCATCCAACGATTCAAGTGAAAGTGAGCTGCTGCATGTCCGCTATCGACGAAATGTCCGCTTTCGACGAGAGCCAGCAACATACGGAGGCCCCAAGCCTCGTCCTAGCGCAGGGCAAACTAGATGGGTTAGGTGGGATGATGCTGATGGCATCCGAAATTATCACAGCGATTCCAGCTCGTCTGGTGTTGAAACTCGTCGTCGGGATGCAAGTGATGACCGATATCATCCAAGCTGGGAGCGGGAAGAGGACGACGAAATACCAATGCCGCCGCCCCGAGATTCGGCAGAATTGAGAAGACGCCAAGAGAAAATGAAACGACGAAAAGATCGCAGAACATCCGACACCGCCTATTCTAACGATTCAGTGAATATCGGTAATATCCACATCAGCCGTCGCCGAAGAGAAAGCCCAAACCCGGTCCAATACATCAGTAACAGTCGCAGCCGCAGCCACGATCGAAGTCATATACTCGGCTATGTACCCCCGATATCCGCTGATAGAGATGACAATGACGCACAACTCGCCGAGACCTTATCATTTGACCTGAAAGACGAAAGGTTCATAGAAGACGCCAGACGATCTAACGGAAATGCAGGCAGCATGCTCCAAGCTTGGTTTAGGAAACGCGCAAGCTTCGGCGATGGTATTGACACCGAACTTGTTGTCATTAACGCAGCAGAGAGTTTCGCCGATGAGAAGGCGAAAAGCGTGGTGACACTGTATTGTCAGAAGGATGCTCTCGATCATGTGAAGCCTGCGCCGCGTCAAATCTACTGGCTGTAGGTACCTCTCGTGGCGGAGTTCAGAGCAAGACTGACTTCTCGGCAGTCATGTGCAACACGCTTCAGATATCGTTAAAGTTATAAGGGTGCATATTCTCTGTATTGAAACTATGAAAGAAGAAAGGTTGACCGATGGAAACAGAGTCTCGTCATCTGCTGTCCATTTGTTCACACAGGATACCAATCTCTTGCGCTGGGTTTTCTTGAACGTGTCTCTCCCGGCCACCAAGACTGCAGTCGCAGTGCGACCCTAAACGGCCAAAAGGCTAGGACCAATGTTTCTCGTGTTGACGGGTTTCCCTCTGGCAATCCACTCCTCCGAAATTCGGTCACCTACTACTCTACTCCTTATCTCGTCTTTCGCGAAGGTCAGAGGAAGATGGGCCATGACAACATGGAGAGTCTTCTAAGTGCTCACTACGGTTATGATGTGGGCGACGCTAGAGACAAAATGCAGGTGCTTTCCGAAACACAGAAGTGGCTTGGCAAGGAAATCCTACACGTTGCCAGAATGAAGAGCCTTCTCATCGGGCCAGGTGAGTTTTGTTGCGCCTGTACTCGAACACCGAAGCTTACGCCGGAGCCCAGAGGTCCTATTGACATGGGGTGAAGTGCCCCTGTCTGCCATCTGCAAAGATAACATTATTATCGACGAGAGCAACTCCCGACCGCTTGTGACCGTGAGAATCACAGACTTCCATGGCAAGGAGTACTACTCCTATATCAAGCACGACTTTAGTTTTGCTGTAAGTTCAATGGCAGACCACAATATCAAGCTGCAATATTTTAGCAACGAAAGTGTGTTTCTCAACTTGACACAATCTTCGTAGGAGCTTACTGCCCGTATCACAAACCTCACATCAATCGAAGATTTCGACATCGTCGAAGACACGCATAATGTCGCTCACGTAAACTCGGAGCTCTGGGCGACTATGTTAAAGGAAGCTCTGATCACTTTCGATGACATTCGCTTGAGCTTACGGCGGAAAGCTCCTAGACATTATCTCCTTGACTCCGAATACTTTGCTCCGCCGCCACTTCCACCTTCACCTCCACCGAATTTTGACAGACCCGAAGAAGTCAAGAATTATTATGACGATCTATCTGCGTCCAGGATGCAGATCCAACGTTATTCGTATACACCACAGGCCCCGGCTTCTGATGCACATGTGTCAAGAGGCGCGCTTATCCGAAGACCGGGAACACCTCACACGTACGCAGGTCCTCATTACGGGTTTGAAAGGCATCGCAACAAAGCCCCCACCATGCATGCATTATCCGAACCTGCCCATAGAATAAGAACCATAAAACGGCGTAGGTCAGAGTCGTTCTCAAGTTCAAGATCGGGATCAATACCACCACCATCAATGAGCACGATGGTTGTTGACAGGTAAGTGATATGACGACCTTAAAATAAACCATATTTTCCCTAAATTCTCACAGTTACAGACCTATTGCGGACTCTCGTCAGCGCCTTTACGACCTCAAGCATCGCTTTGATTCCTCGTCAAAGACCGCGGCACACGAGAAAGCAACTGAAAACATCAAGCCCGCCAAAATCGTCAATGATGGATTCATCAGAAAGAAAGCAAGTCGGACATATCACCTCAGCTCTTCAGAGAGCGGGAGTAACGACGAAATATCTTCACAAAAACCGTCGTCAATCGCTTCGCGTAGCAGGTCCCTGCGAACTCCAAGCCGTGAGAGGTCCATCAGGAGGGAGCCGCCCAAGCCATTTGACACACCTGCAACCCCATTCCTGATGTGGAAGGTCACACAAGGGAGTGGAGGAGAGCAGAATGAAGAGGGCAGCATGAGTACAATGGTCCGTCTTCTCCGCAAAATTGACGGGTCTCTCCGAGAGAGTATTCTTTACGGCAGGGTTTATAAAAGCGGTTACGAGTGCTCTCTCGAAGACATCTACGACCGCCACGACATTTTGAGCGTCATGGGATCGGAGTCTGCGACAGTCAAAATTACAAAAGACAATTCTACCGAAGAGTCGAAGAAAGGGTCAGCGTCGCAGAAGAGTCCTGCTTCATCCCGTTCGACAGATGGCTCTCCAAAGAAACAAGAGGGTCTATACGTGAATACCACGGAGCAGGCGAATGATTTAATTCGGGACGTGTTTACAATTTCTAAGACGATCTTAAGTCTGTATTTGCCACTCAAGGATGACGGAGCGGGGTTCTATGCAGACATCAAAGGTGTCATAGATCGATTTTGGGGTGCATTGGACTTGATCTTCAGAGTAAGTCGCTGAAAACCACTTTATACTACCCCTCGAATCATAATCAATGGTAGAACTCCTTGGCTTCTGTTGACACTGTATTTAGCACATTCGATTCGCGGCACTCAAGACTGCCGCCGAGGGCGAACAGTCCTGGATTATTCGAGGATCTTGCTACGACCATGCTAAGAACCCTGTATTCAAGACATGTGATGCATGCGATAGCAAGAGAGAGTACGATCTCGTCGGAGCTCTTGAGCACCTTCACGCTTGTCGTGCTCATACTCAGTCGCCGGACCACCTAGTGCCCGCCACACCTCACGAAGACCCATGTATCGTGTGGCTCCAGAATGCAAGGACGGCGGAGAAGGACCGTCTGTTTAATACGTTGATCGAAGGTTTGACAGTCTTCAAAGGGGATCTTGGAAGAATTCTCGACGTGTCAAGAGAGCTCCATCTCTTTATTGCGAGACCAGGAAACCGACCAGAAGAAGGATTTAATGAGCGTGTTGGTAACCGAGGTACTGAAAACGACAGAGACGGGATTCCTGGCACCCCAAATGAGACACATGAGACGGCCAACGGTTATCCAGGTACATCTCGCGAGGATGGCGACCAAAAAACCCAGGAGCAGAAGAGGAGCATCGATCAGACTGAGGCGCCAGCTTTGCCGACCAGTCTTCTCCGTGCTTTTGAGAACATCGTAGCGCTGTTTTCTGTCCAGGCTGGAATTGTCTTACTGACATCGAGAGAGAAAAACTCCAAAGGTCACCGAAACAACCGTTTGAGCAAGGCGAAGACTCGCTATGTATCCACCCTCAATGAGGTGATTGCGCATATCGAAAGCGCAAGAGAGGACCTCATCCTCGGTATTACGGCCGAAAACACAAGCAGTGTTCGACTTGGTGCTGTCGGAGCCGAGTACATTGTCGCGATGGCCATGGCCAACGTTCAGACAGGCGCCTTTCGTATCGGCGCTGGGTCATCCAAGGTACCCCTGAGCTTTTCTGGGATCGGCGGAGAGGTACGCAGAGGAACAAGAAGGAGGGCCGTTACGTGGACGGAAGACCTAGGTGTTCTCGATGCTGCATCCCAAAAGCCGGGGCACAAAGTAGCAGTGCCCACGACATCCTTGGATCTCATAGCCCTCTACGCAGCTCATGCGCGTGCTCTCGACTTCAACGCAAGTCTACGTCCAAAACGCCGAGCATTCCTGGCTATTCGCGCACTCGAAGAGGAACTCCAGGCTCTCAAAGACCTCAACGTAACTCAGTGGCATTGTCTTGACAACAGTAAACGCGTCTCAGATCCCACGTCCTTCCATGTCGTGAATCGAGAGAGAAGAGCACGGTTTTCACTGGAACGAAAAGTCATTGAGCGAGCCAAGGCGGAAAGACAGCGTGAGCATGACGAGCTACTCGTTATGTTGCACCGAGCTGCCGATCTGCGGGCCAGAGTAAAGGAGAGTATTGAGGTCCTAGACGAGGGACATGGGAATGCCATTCGAGTGTTCACCTTGGTCACATTATTTTTCCTACCCCTGTAAGTATTCTGAACGCATGAGGTGCTTTATTTAGCATGAGCCACGGGCTGAACAAAGACTGACGTGCTCCCTAGGTCATTCGTCACGAGCTTCTTTGGAATGAACACTGTGGATATTCGCGACATGCCTCAGAGCTCATGGATGTACTGGGCAATAGCTGCACCGATTACGCTATTGGTGTTGTGTTCGGCGTATTTATACGCGTATAAATGGGAGGCTATTACGAGGCGTGTGACCAGAAAGACATGGCTAGATGAGGGTGTTAGTCATTCGAGCGAGCCTCATGCTAGTCCAGCTATTGACTCTTGGGAGTCATACATTCCCAGAAGACTTGGTGGTCGGCGTAGAACAAGGAGATCGACTTTAGGCGATTATGGCAATGGTGGCTGGAGAGATACCTGGGGTCTGCGGAAGGGAGAAACCATAGCTGACGTGGCATAACGATGCTTATCTTCCGAAGAGACCGCCTTTTTACCTGTAATTCAGCGACTACTTCTCATGTGGCTGTATTCTGCTTAACCCTCGTCGTCGTGCCTATCCTAGTTGCTATCGTTATTGTCGTTATTATCGTCATCTTCGTCGTCGTCGTCGTTACTGTCGTCTTCAGTACACGTAGGAGCAATCAGTATGCACGAAACATAGCCGCGCAGACACAGGAAAACTAGGCAGTCTCTTTCTGAAGTACATTATCAGCAGGAAATTTAATTTCATCTTTGTAGCACCATAGTGGTCTTGCTTTCAGACCTTCCCGTCTGTTGGAATCTCGCGTCTCCAAAGACCACCTTCCGTTACCCTGGGCTCATTTGGCGATGCGAGGGTTCCCTCCTTGCACCTTCTCAAACTCAAGTGGCTCCAAAGTGCACTTGGAAAAATCGAGATGGTCAAAATTGGACTGCCGGCCCGTGAAGTGTCAAGATTACTGTCCAAGAAGCTGGGAGGTCACAGATTTGAGACGAACTTGAGATCGTTAAATGATAGAAATGATTCACCAGCCCCTACAAAGAACCAGCAAATTTCGGTTCCGTTTCAGTTCGCAAAGCCCGTACCACAATGTATTGCTCCGGACCCACTGGATGCAGACGAGCTTTCGACAGTATTCCGGGGGTGAGATCCGATTGACAATATTCCCTTCCGATTGACGAAATCGACTGCTAGGCCGCGCTCTCGTTGAAGTCCGAGTCCGGCAATGGCGATTTCGCGTTCCTAAGGGCCTTGATGGCTCCAGTCATTCTGTCAATCGCTGGTTTTTCTTCGTCGAGTGATTTGAAAATTTTATCAACAGCCAAGTTCCTCAGTTTCTGCAAAATCTGCTCCATCGCGGCTTCTACTTTGCCCGCCTCGCGGGCCTTCTCGCGATATACATCGACGAATGTCGACCAATTTTTATCCTCGCTTCTCTGCTTCATCGCGTTCTTGATTGCATTGAAGATGTACCCAATTCGCCTCGCCAGGTTGTTGCAAGATTCGAGAATTGCGTTCACAAACCTCGCGGGCTTTGTTTTAGGCTCATCTCGGACAACCTTGACAATATCCAAGACTATTGGGAAAGACTCTCCCACTCTATGGATAGCGTTTGGAAGATCTTTGATGTCCTTGATTATCTGATAGAGCTTGTCGAGCCGTTCGAATAATGCGATGGTCGATGCGGCCGTGCTGGATGCGTCCATCTTGAGGTGCGGTGCGTCTCCGAGTAACGTGAAGGCTTTGCGGCTGGAAGGTTGACGACAAATCTTATCAGAGAAGGAGACAAGTAGCAATCGTATGCGAACCGTCTGCAGCCGCTAGGTGAGATGCATGGCGCTTCCTAGATGTAGTTAAGTCGCAGCATTCAGATGTCGGTCACTCATTCGTCATCAAGCAGTAAAACCCGTGGCCTATGCATAATGTGCGTACAATTGGTATCATGGTCATCACAATCAGGCTCTCGAGGGACAAACTTCCAAGGCCGAGTGAGGTGATAAACAACGTGCGTCAATATCATTGGCTCATTGACTGCATGTTGACCGTGCAGAATAGAGGCTATGCGAGCTATCCTGCATTGTAAATAAATCACAGGAGCAATGTCAGACTGGGCATCTGACATGCATACGAAATAGGATGCGGGGTAGAGAAAAGCACGCAAGCACACCACTTTTGTTGGTACCTCATGTTCATTTCGGGAGGAGTACCCGGCTTCAATGCGAGCCAACGTTTGTAGAAATCGTGGCGTATGTGTTCAAAGTCCCTTGACACATGGAAAGATACGTAAGGGGCCTGTGATATGTATCTCCTACTGTAGATTCATCGGCATCGTATGGCTGCTCATATCCGGCTTCCCCAGTGCATTCCATGCGCTGGTGTGCTTGCTGCTTTAAGAATGCACTGGGGTGCTTGCTGCTTTACGTAGCCAGATAACCCGTCTCCTAATTTGCAACGTTCCTCAGCACAAGCTGGCATATCTTCATCAGCGCGGGTCCGGGACAAAGTTGGAAGACGCATGCACAGAGCCCCGATGAGGGCAAACTAACCAAAGAGGGGTGACTTACGTCTGGCTAGGCATCCCAGCAAACGGTTGCCTCACAGCCTGGTCTGCCATTTCAGGCGAACCATCGAAATCGAGGGAAGCAGTACGGTACTATATTTTCGTGCCTTAATTCTGCACTTTTTCTCGCCCACCCGCAATCATGTTGCCGGCGTATTTGGTATCTAGGCATCCTTCGTACTACATTCGCGGTCGTCAAACAAGCTTGGCCCGATATACAGAGGACACTCCGACATATTGATGCTAGCCTCAGGACAGACTGAAGGAGCCAACTACGATATACATGAAGCCCGGAAAGTCCGAGAAGAGTGGAGAGGGGAAGTCCCCGCGAGAAGATGAGAATGAGACACGACAACATAAGTCACGGAAGCGTCCAGGGGATTCATCGAATCCCTCGAATAAGCGCCCCGAGAACAACGGCGCTTATAGAATCCACCGGAAAAATCGAAGGTGTCCCGACATTTCCTACATAGGTCCTGGTGGGTATCAGTTGCCCGATCACATGGCAGAGTATTTATACTCCCATCCACCACCGCCACCGCCTCCACCGCCGGAAGCAAGACCAAACACACCACGCAAAGTGCGTCCACTTGCGACATCACAACCACATCCATATCCTGCAGCACCTCCGCAACAACCCCGAACAGGCAGGAATATGAACGGGGCATGGTTACCACCTTTCCAACAACCTGGATATCGGCCTGTTCCGCATCTGAATGTTGCGCCAGGCTGGTGGAACAGCGTGCCCCCCGCTCACTTCGTGCTTAACGTCCCAGTCAACCAGCCACCTGCCCCGCCGCCATATCCTTATCCTCATCCCTTGCCACAAGCCCCTTACGTCCATCAGGGTCCTCCGAGATATGGCCAAGGTTTCCAAGAACCCAACTTCGTCCCTGTGTTTCGACCGAAACCACGCCAACCACGAATTGAAGACATGCCTCCGTGCGTTGACTGCGGCATAGGACTGGGTCAAAAACAGGTGCGATACTTGCTTAGTGACAAGGAGCACGAAAAGTCCAAGAAAGAGAGGAGAAGGAAGAAGCGAGCTGCAGCTGCAGCACAACAAGATGCAATGGCGAAGAACGCGGCGTTCGTGCGCGATGAGTTCGGCAGATTGTTGGAAGATAGTGTCAGGGATGTCATGGTGCGACGTCGGGACCGTTTGAGAGATCTGGACATGGATCCAGAGCCACATCGAAGGGCCATTCCGCTGGAGTATCGCCGATCAAAAACGCCTGTAGCAATCACCCAGGACCTTTTGGACTCATTGGAGAGGGGCCGAGCTCTAGAGCAGGCAGATCTGACATTGCAACAAATTACCGACTTGATCAGTCGAACCCGAGGGCTAGAAATTCAATCTTCGAAAGGTGATACCGAGGATGAGCGTCAAAAACAGTTGGAATCGCTTCAAGCTAAAGTCGATTGGTTGGAAGCGAGAACAGTGCCATACGAGCGCAGACCCGAGATGATTATGAATCACCCTACATTTGAAGATGCTCGTTTCGCTGAGGCACGGCAACACTTCGGACGCACTCACAGTCAGCCTCCTCGCGGCCGCCAGCATGAAAGGTACTTTATGAATCAGAGGGCTCGTACGCCTCGGTCACGCAGCCGACGAAGGCCGTACCAGTTTGTGAGCGAGGAATTGCACTCTCCCTACGAAGATGGACTTTATTCGGATAGCTACGAGGAACTTCCCGAGCTGCGTCCTAGGCATGCTCGACCTTATCCCATGCCATTTGCGCCTGAAGCGCCAGATTACTAGGGTTGTGAGGGTCATACTGTTGGATTGTACATTTTGGACGATAATTATACTGAATATGCAAAGGAGTATCAGCTTAATGTTCGGACACTGACTCCCCACCCCACCTAGGTTGATATAAGACCGCCTGGATTCCATAGACTAAGAGAACTTTTCTAATTTCACGAAGAGCATGACACTAAATCTCATCTGTCATACTTAAGAAGAGGCTTCGGGCTGAGGTGTAACTGGATGAAAAGATTTCGTCTTTCCAAGCTCACGACAATCAAGGGCGGCAGCCACAGACGTAAAGGCTCAATTTGTTCATCATATTGATATCAACCTGTAAACATTACTCAAACCCCCATTATTGACAATGCCAAACGCCACTAATGAAGTCCCAGGATATCTAGAAAAGCATCTACCACTGCGTCTCCATCCACCTAACCATCTTCTCAACAAGCCCGCTCCCCACAACATCCCATCCCTCTCCAACAGCAGGACTCCTCTCTCCCGTCCGCTGCGTCTCAAACACCAGCCCTTCACGGCCAGGCCTGTCGTTGTCATACTTCTCCTCGAAGAAGCGCAGAAGCTTGTACGTCGGGTTCCGCTCCGGGTCTGGGTCCGAATCGCGCAGGCGACGCACCCACTCACGCTGCGAGACGATCTGGAACTCGAGGCCGGCGGCGCGGAGGGCGCGCAGGAAGTCGAAGGTCCAGTGGAAGAGCGTCGGGTTCTGGACCTGGTAGACGAGGCTGAGGTCCGCGTCGTCGGGGGAGGCGGGGGCAGCGCCGCAGGAGGAGCAGCGCGTGCCGGTGAGGTTGGCGAGTTGGAGGACCGCGAGGGCCATTTTGTCGGCGGGCATCCACGACGGGGTCTGTGAATCATGTTAGTATTGATTTTCCGCTTATGACTGTGATGGTATAACTTACCTCGTCAAGAGCAGGCAGTGCCTTAATCACCTTGGCGCTGCGGATCATCAACGGAATCGCCTCCGTCTGGTTCCACACACCACCCTCTGAATCGCCCACAATCTGCCCCAGGCGCAGCACACGCGCCGTCATGCCCGTCTTCGTCGCCGCCGCCTTCACAACATGCTCCGTCACAACCTTGGACCGCGCATAGCCCATGTTCTGAGCATGCTCCAGGTTCTCCACGTACGTTTCCTTCACGCGCGCCGGAATAGGTGTGCCCGCGGCCGCCGAGATGGACGAGCAGAAGTAGAACCGCGCAGGGTTGACCGTCTCGGTGCCGAGGCAGAAGTTGAGCAGGTTGTGCACGCCGCGGATGTGCTGCGCCTCGAAGCTCGCGACGCCGAGGTTGAAGTTGACGGCCCAGGCTGAGTGGATGACTGTCGTGAGCGTCATGCGTAGCTCAGCGGCCGCCTCGGGGGTGAGGCCGAGGTCGGCTTGGCCCAGATTCGTGGGGAGGTACCTCACCTTGGCCTTTTCGGCGTCGGTGAGCACGAGGCCCTTGGGGGTGAGGGAAGCGAGCACGCGGGATTCAGCTTCGGACGGGGAGGAGGCGCGGGCGAGGCAGTAGACGGTCTTGACGTAGGGCTGGCGCACGACCTGGGCGAGGAGGTGCGCACCGAGAGAGCCGGTGGCGCCGGTCAGGACGACGGTCTCGCCGTCTGGGGTGACGGTGCCGGGCTTGCGCTCGCTGAAGTCGGAGTACTTGGCAATGAGCTTTCTCATTACGTCGATCTCGTCCTCGGCCTCTGCGGCCTCGCCGGTGCGGAGGGAGTGGACATGTTTGGCGAGGGCGACGACGTTGGGGAACTCGAAGACGACGTTCTGGCCGAGGGTCTTGCCGCCGAGGTTGACGCCGCGCTGGATGTGGCCGCGGGCGGTGCTGGCTTGAAGGCTGTCGACGCCGGCCTCAAAGAAGTCGGTCTCCTTCTGCAGAGCCTCGAAGCCGAGCTTGCTGCGGAAGAGGTCGAGAAGGTGGTCCTCCAGCTGGGGCAGGTCGAGGGTGACGAGCTCGCCGCCGGCGACGTCATCCGTGGGGGCCTCGAAGCGGCGGTAGACGTCTTCGATGAGCTCGGCGAACTGCTTGTAGAAGGCGGCGCGGATGACGGTGCCCTTGTCGGTGCGGGGGTACTCCGTGCCGATGTCGACGACCTCGATCATCTCCGGGGAGACGCGGCCGAACGCCTCGGCGCGCGCGTTGGCCTGCTCGATGACCGGGCTGAGGGTCTTGAGGATCTCCTCCTTGGACAGGTCCTTGGCGTTCTCGCTGGGGATGATGATTAGGCCGGGGATGGACTTGCCGACGCCGAAGACGACGACCTCCTGGACGAGCTCGTGCTCGCGGATGTGGTTCTCGTAGGGGATGGGGAGGACCTTCTCGCCGTTGACGAGGGTGACACGGTCATCGAGACGGCCGAGGTAGCGCCAGGCGTCGGGGATGGTGGGATGCGGGACGAAGGTGTCGCGGGTGCGATATGAGTTTGGAGCCGGGTCGTCCGAGTTAGACATGACCTTTGACGGGAGGCCATCGAGAACGACGCACTCGTAGACGTCACCTGCGATGGGGATCATGCGCAGCCAGGGCTTGGCCGAGGCGAGGGGGCGCATGTAGTTCCAGTACTTGTCTCCCGGCTCACGGAAGGAGGTCATGAGCTGGCCCATCTCGGTGGCGCCGTAGTGTCCGACAAGATACACGCCCTCCTCAACGAGACGGTCACCCAAGTCGTCGGGACAACTGCTGCCGCCATACAGCACCAGCTTGAGCTTCTTCAGCGCCTCAATACCGCCCTCGGTCTCTGCGAGCAGCTTCAATGCGTACGGCACACAATGCAAACTTCCCGGCTCCGTCGCGGCCATGGCCTTCACCAACGTGGTCCCGGAAAGCGGCAGGTTGGCGTTGTAGATGGCGATCCTGTGTCCCGCAACGATGGCGCGGAAGAGAGTTGAGATGCCGTGGTTGTGGAACAGCGGCAGCGTCAGGAACGCGCGGTAAGGGATGCCGCTCGAGTAGTTGGAGACGCAGGCAGCGTGGGTCTGGAAGATGGGCTTAGGAAGTCCCGTTGAACCGGATGAGTGCACGATGAAGGAGATGCGCTGGGAGGCGTTGGGGTGTGAGAAGATGGGGAAGCGCTCGCCCGAGGGCGTGGGCAGGTCGTAGTCGACCGTGTCGAGGATGCTGAACGATGAGATGGGGTACTGCTCGGTGATTTCGGAGGCTATGCTGCTGTAGCGGTCTGAGATGACGATGCGGTTGCAGTTTGTCTTCTTAAGGAGGTTGACGTAGGCCTCTGGGGAAAGACGCGTTGAGAGGTAGAGCACCGCAAAGCCCATCCTTGACAGGGCAAACATGGTGACTACATAGTTGATGTCTGAGTTGGCAAGAAGCGCGATAACCTCTGCTTGGGCTGAGTTTGGGTTCTGGTCATGGTGAGTATTCCAGACGGTGGGGATGGTCTCGATGAGAGAATGTTGGTGCATACCTCTGGCAGAAGCCCGGCTTGGGCATACTTGCGGGCGGCTTCATCGGCGAACCGATCCAGGTCCTTGGCGGTGTAGTTGACATAATCATCTCTTCCACGAGCCGTTGCCGGGTATGCCAGAACATCGACATCTGGTGCCTCTTCTACCCTTCTCAAAAGCAAGTCTGTGACAGTCCTGGGCTGCTCGACGGGCTTGACAGTCTCGACGATCTCGACCGTCGGCTTCTCAGAAGTGAGGAGTGACCTCGCCGCCACGCCTTCCGTGTGAATCGCCATGGCTGACAAGGTGTGAGAATGAGGGAGGTAAATGAAAGGATGAGTGAGAATGAGCTCAATCGGGAATCATGCAAGTGAATGAACTTGAGAGAGAAAACGAGCCGGTATTAAAGTCTTCAACATTGAGTCGCCAAAGTACTCATCCAATTCATCCGCGGCTCAACAGTGACTTGAAGAACGGTTTTGGAGAACAGAGCCAGAGCCCAGAAGCAAGCCTCTAATATCCTTTCACCATCTTCTGCACATCCAGGCAGCCCCCCATGTCCTTTCCCATGTTCGTCTGGTTCCTAACAAACACGCACTTCCGTCCCTCCTGTTCGCGGTGCTTTGCAGCTAGACAGCCGCCTAGCCCAAACACACTCGCCCCCGGTGGCAATGGAAAATTACCGTCCGCGCCTGTTCTGCGCCTATGCTGCTCACAGCAATCTCTCAAAGGGTCACGGGTGCGTGCCGAGACAACCGACGGAAAAGCACACCGGGCCCTGGGCGACACGGAAAAGCACCACACCGGCTACCGGCCGAGACGCACGGGCCAGTTCCGGAGAGCCCGTCTTACACCCTTCCCGTCGTCCCGTTGGCCTCCTCCGAGTCGATCGGATCGGAACCTAGGAGTATTTCCGACTGATAGCTAGGTCTCTGTGGAGGAATCCGCCGAGTCGTCAGAACACGCGGGGAGATGTGCGTGGGGAGTCGGACGATGTTGCTGTTGGAGGGGCACAGTTGCGGGGTCTCGTCAGTTGAAGGAGAGGGGTATTACTGTTTATTATGAGAAGGCTTCTGGCCATCGCGCGCGGAGAGACGGGCATGAACGATTGTATTTGCGTCTTGTTGAGAAGTTATCGAATTATTTTGTGAAAAAAATGTCTCAGCACTTTTACGATGAAGCAGAGAACCTCGTTCTCGATGCCCTCGAGAGCTTGGTGCTGCAACATTCAGGCCTGACCTTTGATAAGTCCAAGAAGAGTACGTGACTCTCATTTCATGAAATCATCTTGAGTTTTCACTGACAATCATCCCTCTAAACAGCCGTCTGGCTCACCAACAATGACTCCCAAAAAGTCTCCATCCTCTCAGGCGGCGGCGCCGGCCACGAGCCCGCGCACGCCGGCTTCGTCGGCGACGGCATGCTCACCGCCGCCGTCTCGGGCTCCATCTTCGCCTCCCCGAGCGTCGCGCAGATCCTCTCCGGCATCTCCCGCATAGCCTCCCCAGCCGGCGTCCTGCTCATCATCAAGAACTACACCGGCGACGTCTTCCACTTCCACCTGGCCGCCGAGAAGGCGAAGGCCAGCCTCGGCGTGCCCGTCGAGGTGCTCATCGTCGGCGACGACGTGTCCGTCGGCCGCAAGAAGAGCGGCAAGGTCGGACGCCGCGGACTGGCGGGGACGGTGCTGGTGCACAAGATCCTCGGCGCGTACAAGGAGACAGGCGCTTCGTTGGCGGATGTGGTGAAGCTGGGCAAGACGGTGACGGAGGGTTTGGTGACGGTTGGTGCGTCGCTGGAGCATGTGCACATCCCCGGTCGCGAGGCCGCGGCGCCGTCGGCGGGGGATCAGGTTGAGCTTGGCATGGGCATTCACAACGAGCCCGGGTGCCAGGTCCTCAAGCCTAGGCCGGAACTGCCGAAGCTGATTGACCAAATGTTGACGCAGCTTCTGGATCCCAAGGATTCCGACAGAGCGTATGTTGACTTCTCCGACGCGAAGGATGTTGTTGTGCTGGTGAACAACCTGGGTGGTGTTTCGCCGCTTGAGTTTAGCGGAATTACTGCCAAGGTCGTCAATGCTCTCGGTAAGAGTTGGCCCCCGTGATGATGACAAGGGCAATTGCTGATTGTTCAAAGGCGCCAAGGGTCTTAAGCTGGCTCGTGTCATTTCGGGAACGTACATGACGAGCCTCAACGGCCCTGGCTTCAGCATCACTCTGCTCAAGGCCACCTCTGATATTCTCAAGTACATCGACGCCAGCACCGACGCCATCGGCTGGGCATACTCGCCGCGCAATGAGACGGCCAACGACCCCAAGCAGCGAATCACTGAGAGCGCGGATGCCGGCCATGGAGCAGACAGCGCGAAGAGCGGAGTTGAACGTACGTTAAACAACCCCTTTCTACTCCTTAGCACCTAGCTAACAATCCCGGATCCAGTGAACGTAGACGTCTTCAAGAAGGTCGTCGCCGAAGCGAGCAAGCGCATCGAGCAAGCCGAGCCCCAAATCACCGACCACGACACGAAAGTCGGCGACGGCGACTGTGGCGTCACCCTCCTGCGCGGCGCCAAGGCCGTCTCAAAGTACGCCGCCTCCGCCGACCTCACCTCTGACGCCGTCCGCACGGCCATTGACTTGACGAATGTCATCGAGGACAACATGGACGGCACCTCGGGCGCCATCTACAGCATCTTCTTCGCGGCGCTGTCGTCGGAGCTGCGCAAGGCGGGCGCTGGCGTGCTCGACACGAAGGCGTGGACGAAAGTGGCTGTCGGCGCGCTGGGGACGTTGCAGCAGGCGACGCCGGCTAGGCAGGGGGATCGGACACTGTTGGATGCGTTGGAGCCGTTTGTGAAGACGCTGGAGAAGACGGGGAGGGTGAGCGAGGCGGTGAAAGAGGCAAGGAAGGGTGTGGAGGCGACGAAGGGAATGGCGGCGAGCTTGGGGAGGGCGGTGTATGTGGAGGAGTCTGCGTGGGGGAAGGTTCCGGATCCGGGAGCTGAAGGCGTGTTGGCTATCTTGGAGGGACTTGAGGCGGCGACATCTTAGCTGGTGTCACGATGAAGTTGAATATATTGGCGGAGCCACAGTTGTAAATATTCGAAGATTCAAGCTAATGCGTTTTGATAATGATTGTAACGCGTCTTGATTGATGAGACTGGGTCTTTTCAAGGATCACACATGCAGCGAACATCCATTGCGCCCGAGCAACACCATGCCCCGCCTGATATCAAAAGACAGATTTCGCCATTGATGCATCAAACAGAACCTCTACAACGACAAGACGAACCGCTAGAATCTTAATGAGTCGTCATTCAACAATGCCTCCAGCCCCCCAAAGCCAGACGTGACCTGCATAAGTAACTTCAGTCAAAGGTTCACAGACTCGTACATCAAGCAGCAACTTACCATGGAATCGAATTGACCCCAGCTGGTCATGTCAGCTAGAGAACTACTGGGACTGGCATCGAACCCCACAAAGTCCTCGGTGTGAGCGACGTCTGAGAAGTTGATTCCTGCCAGGTGATCCGGCTGCTGGTTGTGGACGTCTTCTGCCGCACGAGCTGCCAGAGACCCGCCACCATTTGAGTTATCATGGACTGAAGGGATGTGGAGGCGTTCCGTCTGCCTCAGAGCCTCCGTCCGCAGCTCCTCCAGCACCAGGCAGTACCGCGCGGCCAGCTGAGACTCGTTGTCAGCCAGCGTGGCGAGCTGCGTCTGGCAGCGCGTCGCGGCTGCGAAGTAAGATTGCCACGTCTCTGCGGGCGCCGTTCTCTGCTGTATTGTGTAGACGTAGAGAACGACGACGGCGGAGAAGGCGAAGTAAGATGTGAACTACACTTCGGTGTTAGTCGATGTCTGCAACACGACATAGATGAGATGTCTCACCCAGAATGCACGGAACAGCTGGCCTGCCTGGATCAGGTCGTTCACTGTATCTACCACGTGCATAGCCGCGTCTAAGCATGCCTGGACGCTGTCGCCGGCTTGGTCCTTATGCGGCACACTTCGACGACGGCTCTTGCCGTTCCGTTGTAACCTCGCAAAGTTGCTGAGGAGGAACGGCCGATGGGTTAGTATCATGGCGTGCCAGTAGGCTAGATTCAAGACGTTTCTCTGCCGTTGGAATATTGGGATGAGCAGGGCCATGTTGATGCCATCATCCAGGAACTGCGAGAGCTCGGCACGCCATTGCTTCAGGTTCTGCGAGTACTTTGCTGCCAAGGCACAGCGGTTGGAGAATGAGGAGGGGCGGATGGAGTACAGATCTCGTAAGATCATGCTCACTATTCGTGAAAGCCTGCGGTCGAGTCAGTGTCTGATGCAGCACAGCGGGACGGTCCGCACTTACTTGACGTGAGCCACGGGCGCCAGCATGAGCGACTGCCCGCGTCCCATGCGGGGTGTTATGTGGTCCGCATGCAGATCGCCGTCCTCCGAGCACGACGGGAGTTCCTGGTCGATGTCTTCATCGTGGAACGTCCTGGGCCGGCCCAGCGCGGCGCTAAGGTAGTTGTCGAGGCTGTACGCGCACCAGAACGTGCGCCGTCGACACTCGAGCTCGATGTAGTTGTACGCCCCCGCCGGGTCGGCGTGACGGTTCCTGTTGAGGCCGATGGCGAGAGCCAGGTGCCCGACGGTGCCGAAGAGACTCCAGCAGTGGTTGATGCGTGATTGTGATAGTAGCCAGAAGCACTGGCATAAGCGAGCCTGTACGCTGGCTAGGCGGACGGCACCGCGCTCTTTGGAGAGCTGGTGATCTGCAGCCAAGAAGTATCGAGCGCTGGGTTGGGTGTGTTAGACAAGGGGTTTTAGTTTGTGACAAACATGCGTGGACGGGTACGACGACGGATATGATGTGTTCCCCAAAGATAGGGTAGTAAAAGCAAACATGAAACTTACCTGACGTCCGCGTTTTCACGGGTCTGGGTGGTGACCATGTACTCCTGCGCCTGAGCAAACACCATAAATAGGACGGCTCTCCGCGCGGGAGCGTCCTCCTGGCTTTTCATCGCGCCATTGGTGGCATAGAACTCTTCGAGCCAGCCTTCGACGGTGGGGCGATGGAGGAAACGGTGCGTTGGCACGGCAAAGTCAAAGTATCTCTTGAGCAGCGTTGTCGCCTCATCCTTGGATAGCAGGACGCAGAAGGCGCCGCTGGGGTCAAAGTCAGGCAGGGGAGCATCGCCAAAAGTGAAGATGGATGAGGCTTGTGAGAAGGAGACGGCCTGGTGTAACCTCTTCTGAACCCTCAGTAAGAATGATACACCCGACGAGGGGCCGACATAGTGGCCCTGGAGGTCTGTCTGCGTAGGTTCAGGAGACGCCCGCGAGGGAGGCTCGGCAGTCCCCGGGCCGACGCTGCCGATGACAAGATTCGATCCGTTCATGATGCTTTCCTCTTGGTGCTGGTCATGCTCATGGTCAACATCAGGCTCTCCGACGTCGACGACGATGGATGCCATCAGGGCATCTTCGCCAGCCGCACCAGATGATCCGGAGATGGCACCACCAGCGGAATTGCTGCTGTTCGAGCTGTTTCCATGCGTTCCCGCGCTCGGCGGCACGGAGACGTCGAGGCCGTCGAGGTCCATTCGGGCGACATCCTCCCGAGTGGCCACGGGCGGCTGGCGCCCGCGTGCATAAGACGCGTTGTACGTGCAGTGGGACTCGGTGCGGATGCACAACTCGCACGGCTGGATCCCCGTGCAGCGGATCTTGCGCTTCTTGCACCTGTCGCAGGCCCGGGTGACGCGGACGCGCTCCTTGTCGCGGTGGCGGCGGCGTCTGCCGCTCTCGGGCAGGGGCGTCGTGTTGGACGGGTGTGTCAGGGGCGGAGAAGCCAGTTGCTGGGTGTTCCCGTTGGCATTGGTGTTAGTGGTGGTGATGCTTGATCCGTTGATGGTTCCGTTGCCGTTGATGGAGCTGGTGCTGTGGTGTCGTTGGCCGTGGCCGTGGTTATCCAGGACATGCTGGTGATGGTGTGAGTGGGAATGGCGGCGATTCCCGCCATTCATGGTGCTGCTGCTGCTGGCGGCAACGTTGATGCTGCTGTTGGCATTGCCGATGTTGCCAGTGCTCCCGATGCCGATGCCGACACCGGAGCCTTCGTCAGAGTCCAGGTCCATTGCCGGAACCTCAGCCTAGCTCTGCTCTTCTCCGTCAAGGCCCAGTGGGCGGAGAGGCGGGCAGACGGACGGACGGCGGAGCGCGGATGCGGGTGCGGTTGTGCAGTGCCCGGTTCAGCCCCCAGCAACGCAAACTAACAGCGAGCAATTTGGCGCGGCGGCGGCGGCGGCAGACTCCCCTGATCCTGCTGCTGCTGGAGACACGGAAACATGGCCCTCGAGCACTCGCAGACTCAGGGTGGGAAATGGGTGGAAGGGGGAAAGAGAGGGACCCAGGGCGGGAACGTGGAGGAACGGAAATGTCACCTCATTCTTAATCCTTTTGGGAATGGGGAGACAATGCGGGGTACCCGGCCGCCCCATTTCTTAGTCTGCCCCGGTTGGGACGGGCATCCTTGCGGGACATGGCTATGCTGTTGCGGGGAGATGCCCCGGGCGCCCGAGTCGAATGATTATATTTGATTTTCAAAGAATGGTGGTACTGGCACGAGGAGCAGACTGGATTGGAGGGAGGGGCATATGCGAAGAGTCAAGGATTTTGTCTGTGTCTGTCGAGTGAAGTCTGTTGGGAGCATGGGGAAGAAGAAGAACACGAGATCCCGGAGATGAGCTTGTGTTTGGGTGTAATAGGGCCACAGGGATGAAGGTCGCCCTCTTCAGCCTCAGAAACGTGGAACTTTTTGAAGATTGTTCTAGAGCTGCTTCCGGCGAGTAAGTCATTTCAGAACAACCAGGGATCTGCAGACGCACGCACCAACATGAACCAAGTGAGTCTGGGGTAGGTAACCTACGGGGTTATATATGTCCAGACGCGCGAGGAGATGGCGTGTTTAATCAGGTTTTTGTCTGTTTCTGTTGGCGGTAGTTTGACGAGGTCACCAGTAAGAAGCCGTGTTAATTGCTGGGTTTGTTCTACTATCAAGACGTTCATCAAACTCTGAATTCATTACAACCTTCTGATAATAGTAATCAATCCCATTAAAAGATCGCCACGGCGTTGGGAGGACTAGCAACACCTCCAGGCACCTAACGGTCGCGAGTTAATAACAAATACATCTTCACCTGGTTTAATTCAGCCAGTCAGGGTCACAAAACTCACCTTCAATGGCATGCTGCTCACAAAGAACGTCCACCTCCCCAGCTCCGCGCACTTGACACTCAATGCCTCGAGATCAAACATCTCCCCAATCGGCAGTCCCCATCCGCCCAGCAGCCACTGATGCAGCAAACCTCCGCTCTGCATCTCCTCCTCCCACGCTTCGCCCTTCCACACACCCCCAACGGCAGTATGAGGCCCCGCGATGGGCGCCCTCTCGAAGCTCGGCGCGTCGCCCGCCACGGCCGCAAACCCAGTCTCCCAGATCCACCGCAGCACGTCCTTGGTCGGTTCGACGCCGAGGAAGTCGGAGCTAGCGCGAGCGGCGACGGCCTTTTGCGCGGCGTCGTCTTTGGCGTTGTAGCCCGCCGTGAAGCCCGAGCGGATGAGCAGGATGTCGCCGGACTGGAAGGTGACGTTCTGCTCGGCGGCGACCTGCTTCAGGTGCTCGAGGGTGATGTCGCTGCTTGTGAAGGCGTCGAGCGGGAGTGCGTGCCGGGCGCAAAAGCTTGCGTAATCGAGCAGGACGCCCCGGCCGACGATGCCACCCTTTTCGACCCAGGCTTTTTTGTTCATTAGTTAATGAAACAAATGCAGCGCAGCGCAGAGACCGCAGCGCGACACGACTCACCATCGATGCCGATCTTTTCGGGATTTTCCAGGTCGTCTTGAGTCGTGTTGTTGTAGTACCGCTTGGCTTTCTGGTACCCTTCGTCTGAAGCGTTAGCTGCTTGATCCTTGTTCACGTCCCTGAAGCATCGCTCAAGTCGTTACCGTAGTGCCTGAACCCGTCCCACTGGCTGCTGCACTGCGTGTTGAAGTGCAAGATGTCGTCGTTGACCGTCCGCTTCTCCCCGTTGGGATGCGCCCGGTTGACCAGTTTCGACTCAAACGGCGCCCGGTCGAAGCTCGGCTGCGAAGGGTTGTTTAGCGACCAGTCCAGCGACACGCGGTCACCGGTCCGGATCTCTGATGCTGCTGCAGCGGCGACGATGGCTGGAGTTAGAAGGTTCAGCGCCCCTAAGCGATCGTCTTTGCCGTAGAGACCCCATGCGTTTCCTGGAGGACCACTGGGGTCCAGAGGAAGAGACAAAAAAGGCGGGCGGGGTGGTAAACTAGAAGAAGACATGATAAGAGAGGTGATGTTCCCAAAGTGAAAGTTGACTGTTGGAGATGAGAACAAAGATGAGGTGGACACTGAATATGTGCAAGTCAAGACGCCGAAAATCGCTATCGGGGTGAAATGCGCCGGCGTCGGGGAGCCGGCGCCCACTGCTACACCCGACTTAAAACCGCTGAAGAGCGGATTTGTTTTCTGTCAACAGACTGGCGGGGCCATTCATCGCTCATGTTGTTCGGTTTCCTGGTAATGAAACTCAACTTGAATTAGTGTCAATTCATTGACCATGTTCCGTTTCCTACTTATTTCATTGCCCAAAGTTTACAGCTTTGATCTGTCCCAGTTGATGTTGTCTTAATAGATGTACCTAAAGTTCATGTTCTCCTGATCCGTCAAGTCCCCAAACGCAGTTGCATCCAGGTCCACCTCGGTAACTTTACCCTGCGCCCGATCGCGCCTGTCATTCTCCCACTTCAAGAGGAAGCGCAGCGCAATGACAATGAGAACTTCTAGCAGATGCGCCACGATCATACCCCAAATTCTAAGCTCTTACTTGGGTGCCTGGTCGGACTTGTAAATGAATGGGCCAGCAATGTTTCCAACGCAGTAGCCCAGGAAGAGGCAGGCTGACGTGACAACCTTTTTGGTGTGTCCCGCAATATTGGCTGTTTGGAGTGAGAGGAGGAGCACGAATGAAGCGTTGATGGATCCGGTCAACTAGAAAATCACAATCAGCTTTTTTGCCGCGGGAAACTAGCACTGGAGAAGGTTGATAAGAACTCACGTAGCAGCAGATAAGTCTTGCGACTCGCTGGTCGTCGGGCACGAATCGTAGTCCAAATGCGCCCGCGACGTTGGGGAGTAAGAACAGGACAAGCATGAAGCATCGATTGTTGGGAGGAAGCCTGTCGTTGATGAACACGCAGGCCAGAATGGCGATGAAAATGAGGACCCCATAGGGAATTTGGAGAACGGCAGTAATGACTGTGACCAGTTAGCCACAATACAGGATGACGAACAAGGTAACAGAGACGCACGCGTGGAAAAGTCAAACCCCTTGATAATCAACGTCCCAAAGTTCGACGTGCCCCCGTTCACAATGGCCTGAAGCAGCGCAATCATGAAGAAGAAGTACAGCTTGAAGTCTGCGAATGCCTCCCGGACCTGGTACAGCTTCAACTTCTTATTCTCGACGCCGGTCTGATTCTCCCTCAGTCGTTCAATCACAATTTTCTTCTCGCGCTGGGAGAGAGTCTTGCTTGTGATGGGATTATCCGGGAGGAAGACGGCGATAACGATGCCCCAGGCGCAGCAAAGGGCACCGACGATGATGAACTCGTACTTCCATGATGCGAGCGCTCCTTTGATGTTGCCAATGCCGTAGCCCAGGAGACCGCCGAGGGCGATGCCGATGCCATTGGCGGTGTACCAGAGGCCGACCTTGATGGGTTGTTCCCGGCGGGTGTACCACATGCTTTCTTCCTGTTATTCGAGGTCCTCTAGGCCATTGAGGTAGAGGGGGAGAACCGTACCTGGTGATGATCATGAAGGCAGGGTCAGCGCAGGCCTCTGCTGCACCGCTTATGGCTCTCAGCACGGCCAAGACTGTGAAATTGGGCGCGACGGCCTGGAGCACTAGGAATGTTCCCCATGCGAAGATGTTGGCTCCCAGATACTTTGCAATGGGAAATCTCTGCAGCAGGAAGTTTGTGGGAAGAGCCCAGACGAGGAAGCCAAAGTAGAAGACCGAGGACAGCCAGTTGTACTCAGTACCCTGTGGCCCAGGTCTTTCTGGATGCCAAAAATGGCAGCGTAGGACAGAGTAGTCTTGTCAATCTTTTCGCGATGTCAGGTTCAGCCCCAGCAACCGGATCTCTTGGCAACGGTTGAAGCACGCTTGGCTGCTAGACTTACGTAGAAAAAGGCGTAGCAGACTGCAATGTAGGGTAAAATCATCCAATCAACTTTGCGCACGAGTTTGCGGTCCTCTTCCGGGTCGATAGGGTCACGGATCTCGCCTACGTTTTCGAAGAGTGCCAAGGCAACGTCGCCTCCACTCTTGGAAAGCTTGAACTTTTGGAGGTTTGCTTCCTGTATGTTCTCTAGCTGGGCTGCCGAAGGCTTTGATTCGTTGATCCCATCGGTGTTGGCTGTAGTTTGTTGCTCTGGCTCAGGGCTTTCATGTGGGTTCATGGCAAAAGACATATTTTGAATGATGATTCGACAAAAATAGCTGATTGAAGAGCCAGCAACACTGGTTCAAGAGAGATTTGAAAGTTTCGGGAAGAGAAGAACTACATCATTAAACAGTTGATGACAATGAGCCACACAGTCCAGACTCACACAATGTTAGAGCACCCTCCCCCAGGGACCATGGATAACGCGGCAAGAACACTCTGGAGAAAGCACGGGGAAGCGTCGAGCTACCCTCAACGTTTCCGGGTAGCTTGCCGGATGGACACATATTTCAGTTGCTTTGGTCCACATAGCGTCACACTATCTGGAGACAAGCAAAGACGAGCAGAGTGCTTTTCCGTTGCACGTTTCCAAAAGCAAGATCGACCTTGTTCATCATATCCAATCATGTATTCATAACCATCCCGCTATCTAGCCTCTACACGGGAGATCTACAGGGACTTCTCAATCTTGTCGATATCCGACAACAGCAGCGCATCCAGCGACTTCCACGTCGCCTCAGCCAGACGTCCCTTGAGCGGCAAACGGCCTCCCTCGAGCGCGCCGAAGCCGGCCTTTTGAATGATACCCTCACGGATGCCGATGATACCCGTCTTGCCGATGAAGTCCTCCGCGCGGGACACGGCGTACTGCAGGCGCTGGACCTCCTCGAGGGTGCCCTGCTCGACGGGGCGCTTCTCGGAGAGGGCGAACAGGCGCGAGACGGTCTTGGGGTAGAAGGCGGCGAGGCCGTCGATGACGCCCGCGGCGCCGAAGAGCACGATGGGTGCGAGCTGCTGGCCAAAGCCGCTGTAAACGCGGAACTTGGAGTGGTCGATGCGCGGGTCGGAGGAGACTTGGAGGTGGAGAGAGACGTTGCCGTGGGACCTGCGCGTGTTAGCTTAGCGAAGAGAATGTGAGGCGGTTGTGAGTCTTACATCTTGCAGCCCACGATCTTGGGGTGCTGGGCGAGGTCCTTGTACGTGTCGGGCTCGACGAGGACGTTGTTTGTGACGCCGGGGTAGTTGTACCTATTTCAATCAGCTCATCCGTCCAAATTTCGACATCTCAATGAATGGTGCACTTACACAAGGATGGGCAGCGGGCTCTTGTCCGCGATCAAGTTGTACCACTCCTTGATGTTCTCCTGGTTCGCCGCCGTGCCAAAGTACCCCGGCACCAGGACCAGACCCCATTGCGCGCCGGCCTTAGTGTAGTCCTCCAGCCACTCGAGCGTCTCGTCGACGCCGTTCGTCAGGACACCGGCCATGATGGGGTAGTCGGGGAAGCCGGCCTCCTCGAGGCCCTTCTTGACGCCGGCGACGAGCTCGATGCGCTCGGCCTTGTTCAGGTGGATGGCCTCGCCAGTCGAGCCGAGGAGGACCAGGCCGCGGATGCCATTCTTTGCGAGGTAGACGCTGTGCTTGACCTGCGTCTCGACGTCAACCTTGGGCTGGAGGGAGCCTGACGACGCGGAGGCGGGGTGGAAGAAGGTCGGGACGGGGACGAAGACGCCCGTGGGGGGTACTCTGACGTCGGCCATTGTGATGGATGAATTAACTCGATAAAGAAACAGGAATTGAGACGGATGACTATGAGATGACGGGTATCACTTTTTTTGCTTTGCAGAGAATCTTCAGTTCCACGAATGTCAGTTTTGTTGACAGCAACCACCCCTCAATTGTACCACTCACGATGGGCAAGCGAACGTGTCAGAGCACCCCCGGTCTCGGTCCTCTCGGCAATTCCGCGAAGAGCCAGCCTGCGCTCCGGGTCCACCAGGATGGCGTTTCTCGGGGTGTGATGACGCGGGGGTGGAGACGCATGGCGTGAAGCAACATGGGGGGAAAACTCGCGCGGGGAACAGTCCGATACGCCGCGCCGCGTCGGACGCCATCGGCTACATGAGCGGCAGCGCTGCTCAGAAGCGCCGGAAAAGAGGTTTACCTAATGCTCTTCTCCGTAACACGGATGGGCGGCGCCCCGAAGATGCGGAAACATTGCAGGAGAGGGACAACTGACGACAGCCTCAAACTAGGGATATAAGATGAGCCTGTGAATTTTGTTCATGGGGCTTTTTGGAGTGTGACATATGACACATTGAGTGCGGATAACGATCAGAATCATCCGATTTTCATTTCCTCAGACGTACCTCCGTGAACGGCACATTTTGAGATACCCTGCATCATTCCGAAATAATGTCTTTGCCTTCATCTTTCAAGCTCTTGTCGGGACACGAGATCCCCGCAGTTGGTCTGGGTACTTGGGTAAGCGGCAGTTGTGCAGTCGTCGATGGAAACAATTTCTGATGGCTTTGGCGTGTAGCAATCCAAGCCCAATGAAGTCAAGAATGCCGTCGAGCATGCTCTGAAGAATGGCTACCGCCACATCGACGCGGCCGCCGTCTACGACAACGAGAAGGAGGTTGGCGCCGGCCTCAAGGCCTCTGGCGTGCCCAGGAAAGACATCTTCGTAAGCTACTCACTGCAAAGCTTATTTCACTCTCGAATTCTGACCCCTGCAGATCACCAGCAAGCTCTGGAACACGCACCACAAGGCCGAGGATGTCGAGACCGCGCTAGACATCACCCTCGCCGACCTGCAGACCGACTACGTCGACCTTTACTTGGTAAGACCCCTCCATCCCTCCTTGCTCTCCTCACCCCACCCTGCCTCAACGGCCCGCCTAACGCAGCTATGTCGTGCATTAGATTCACTGGCCCGTGTCCTTCAGGAAGGAGAACGACACCAACCGCTTCCCGCTGCACCCCGTGACGGAGGCGGTGGACGTCATCGACGTCCCCGTGTCCGAGACGTGGAAGGCGATGGAGGCCCTCGTCAAGAAGGGCAAGATCAGGAGCATCGGCGTCTCCAACTTCACCCGCGAGAAGATTGAGGAGCTGTGGAAGACGGCCGAGATCAAGCCGGCGGTGAACCAGATCGAGGCGCACCCGTACCTGCAGCAGCCCGACCTCTTGGCCTGGTCCAAGGAGAACGTGAGTAGCGCCTACCTGCTGACTGAAAAATGTTCCGTGGTTGCATTTGTGCGGAGGTTCGCTAATCTGGGGAATCATGCAGGGTATTGTTGTTACGGCGTACAGCCCCCTTGCCAACAACATTTACAACCTGCCTCGGTGAGTGGCACACTTTGAGATGAGTGGATGGTCTGCAGGCTAACAGTAAGCAGCGCCGTTGATGACTCCACGATCATTGAGATTGCAAAGTCTCTAGGCAAGGAGCCCGCCCAGGTTCTCGTCAGCTGGGCTGTCCAAAGGGGAACGGTCGTGCTCCCCAAGTCCGTCACTCCCTCAAGAATCGAGAAGAACTTGGAAGGTACAGTCCACTTGCTCACGATGCAGTTGTAGGAAGAATTCACTGACATGTAACAGTGTTCGAGCTCCCCAAGGACGTCTTTGAGAAGATCAACTCCCTCGACAGGAAGCACCGCTACAACTTCCCCGCGCGCCTGGGCCAGGACATCTTCGGTGAGTCCGACCCGGAGACTCTCAAGAAGGCGGTGGAGACGTGGGTGGCACAGCAGAAGAAGATTCGAGCTGGCCAGGCGTAGAACAGCATTCTTTCTGTGTATCTTTGTCGTAATAGAGCGGGAATACAAACCCCTAGTTAGAATTGATGGAAACTCATGAAACCACCAATAAGAAGACCCAGACCTCGGTGAACATTTTCCGTGCCCCTTTTCCTCACCGAACGGAAAAGCGCACACCGGAACCCCGCAGAGACCCGTTCCTCTGCTGGATCACATTCGGGTGAGGGTGCACCGAACCCCGCACTGCCCATGGAGCAGCTCCCCACTTGCCGTTTGCGGCCGGGTAATGGCCGCGGGCATTGCCGATGGAGATGCTGCTGCGGAGTCGGACGGGAGTGAGAGGCTGAGAGCACAGGCGGCTCGGCGAGGTTCCGGACTATGTTCCGATGGGAGCGCATTTTGCTCCGTCAACTCCGTCACATCTCCGCTTTGGCAGGGTAATAATAGTTCACGATTGCCTCAAGAGTGTGTTATTTTTGCAAGCACACCATTGACTCGGCATCTCCCTCTCACAAAGCTCAATTGCCCTGTTTGTAACTATTTGCAAGGGTAACCCCTCATTTCATACGTCACACTGCCAAATCCCCACACGAGTTCATCATGGGCAAGATCGCAAAGATGGAGTACTTCCGGGTGCCGCCCAGGTGGCTATTCGTGAAGATCACGGACGAGGCGGGCAACGTCGGATGGGGCGAGGCGTCGCTGGAGGGTCACACCCAGGCCGTTGAGGGATGTCTCGATGCTTGGTTCGAGAGGTATTCGGGCATGGAGGCGGAGTCTGTTCATTCCATTCGACGTCAAGGGGATCTTGATACTAACATGACCTAGCGATATCGAACACATCTGGCAAATGTCATGGAGGACAACTTTCTACCGTGGAGGGCCCGTCTTTATGAGTGCGTTGGCGGGTATCGATATTGCGCTATGGGACTTGAAGGGTGAGTTCGTAAGCCACAGTTGATGAAATACGTTACTGAGAGTCATGTAGCGAGAAAGTTGGGTCTGCCTATCTGGCAGTTGCTCGGAGGAAAGGTCAGAGACAAGCTCAAGGTGTACGCCTGGATCGGCGGTGACAGGCCGAATGACGTCGGAGCTCAAGCGTAAGAAACATGCGAATAATCTGCAACATGAAATTTGATGCTGATATGTTACACAGACAAGCCAGAAAGGATCAGGGCTTCAAGTGCGTCAAGATGAACGGCACTGAAGACCTCGGCTGGCTCGACTCCCCCAACGCCCTCGACGCCGCAGTCGAGCGCGTCAAGGCCGTGAAAGCCCTCGGCATGGACGCTGGCGTTGACTTCCACGGCCGTGTACACAAGCCCATGGCGAAACAGCTCGCGAAAGCGCTCGAGCCGCACCGCCCCCTCTTCATCGAGGAGCCCCTTCTCTCAGAGCACTTGGGCGGCATCAAAGAGATCAGCGGCTTGACATCTATCCCCATCGCCCTCGGCGAGCGTCTTCACAGCCGTTGGGACGTGAAGCCGTTCCTGGAGGCGGGCTGTGTTGATATTCTGCAGCCTGACATCTCTCACGTCGGTGGCATTTCTGAGATGCGTCGCATTGCGGCGATGGCTGAGGCGTATGATGTAGCGTTGGCGCCTCATTGCCCGCTTGGCCCCATCGCCCTGGCTGCCAACGCCCAGGTTGATTTCACGTCGCCCAATTTTGTAATTCAGGAGATGAGCTTGGGTATTCACTACAACAGCACCGGGCAGGACTTGACGAGTTACACGAAGAACCCAGAGGTCTGGAAGGTGACGGATGGATATATCGACCTCCTCACTGGTCCGGGATTGGGTATTGAGATCGATGAGGATCAGGTCCGTCAGCTGTCTAAGGATGCCAAGGCATGGGTGAGCCCCGGATTTATCGGGCCTGGTGGTGAAATCAGAGAGTGGTAGATGCTCGTTTTATCTCACCTATTTGTAATAGAAAATGATACGAATGTAATAAAACACGTCAAAATCATTTGCCAAATTGAGGCGATTTGAATATTACTAGTTGAATCTTGGTTCATCGACTCAAGGTGCCTTCTGGAGCCCTTCATGCTTCACGATCCACCCGCCGTCTTTGGGAAAGCCGGGCGCATCGCCTTCGGAACCCTGCCATCCAGCAACCATGTAGGCGACTGCAGTATTTGTTAGTATCCCTCGAGGCTGCTGTCAAGATTGTAGTTGGATAAGTCTTACCAGCATACAGGAAGCCAGCATTGCCCGGCATAAAAGGGGGAGGGGTACCGCCTGCCAATAGTCAGCAATGCGGCAGAGGCTCGTCATTGAAAGGGTAAACCTACCATCTCCCCCGCGAACAGCGAACCCAGCATCATCAAAAGTCCAGTAGCTGTAAGCCGTCAAGTGATAAATAGCACGCTCCGGATTACCGATCCGTGCAGAGTTGATCGCCAATACAGGCCGTCCCCATCCTCGAATCTTCTGGTCCGTCCAGACTTCCCAGACCTTGTCGGCCGTTCTCAGGGCCACCTCGGGATCTACAGCAGGCGTATCCGGTAGCACACCTTGCATCATGATAAGGCTGCGCGGGTCGCCGTTGAGAGCGGGATCATCCCACCAAGAACTATTTAGGCCTTCGTAGACAGCGTAGAGGCCATTGATCTGAGGCGGAGGAGCCAGCCTCTCCGCAACGGTGGTCCATTTCTCTGGGACAGGTTGACCGAGTCTTTTCTTCCATTCCCGCGCGGTGTCTAGGCCGTATCTCCAGTATGCGATCTACAAGCAGGTGAGCTTTAGCACTTGGTCAAGTTGGTAAGATGCGTCTACCTCGTAAGCCAGGTTTAAGGTTTCTGAGGGTGGCGTGTTCTCAGTTACGCCGTATGAGCTGCAATGCATGTCGTCAGTCTATCAACCGGGGATCTTATATGATCTCATACTTACGGTGGGCCGAGATCGTAATGGCCTGAGGTCTCGTTGAACCATGCGTATGACGCCATGTAGTCAGCGGCAGCCGTGATTACCTCGTCCCATCGCTTGAGCGTT